CTATGTGGCGGTATGTATGTACTGTAGATTAGATAGCTAAGCAACTTGAAATACCTACAGCTGATAAATAATAATCTAAGAGTTAGTTAGTGTATGTAGACGTCTAGTTGGAGCAGGTAAAGCTGCATTTCCAAAAGCCGTTTCGACGGTGCATATAATTAAGTATTAGAGGAGCTTCATTGGAAGAAAATAGTTTTCTGTGTGTCACTATGAAGCCCTTTGCTGGGTTACTTTGAAGGAATTGTTTTTTTTTTCTTGGTATCTATAGTCAGATTACCGTGATAACAAACAAAGTTGGCTTTAGTACGAGAGTCTATGGGAGTTCAATGAATAATAGTTCAATGTAATCGTAGTAAATAGAATGGACCATAAGTTTTATGTGTATACAAAAACTTTTATATGAACAAAACTTTCACTGAAGATATTGCACTCACAGTATAGCTATAGCTAAATTACAGGAATTTACTTTTCGATAACGGTGTCATCTAGATGACAACCATGTTGACACTGAAATACTTCTAAGCCAGTATTCTAATTTTTAAAGGCAGTTTCTTGTTTCAATGCATGCTCTATTGTTTGCATATAGATGTAGATGCGATTCTTTGACGAATCTGATAGAAAAACATCTAGTAGAGATAAATCTCTATTCTTAGGTAGCCACAAGACCCACATACAAATCAACACTTACAGTAGCATTTATTAACGATCCTCAGACTCTCTACATGTATGACAAAAATGGTACGTTTAAACTAAATGTTCCTTCCTACTCCATTCAGACGATGTGGTCGCATAGAGACTTTTATATATGTATAAATATTGATGAGTTCGTGATCATCTTGTACTTATTCGATAAATAAATCAATGAGCCGGTGTCGCTATATAATAGTAAGCAATATTCATTTGAACGAATGAGGTGAATATCGTTTCTTGACTACTTAGACACATAGCTTTTAAACTATAAATTCTGAATTCTGAGTGAGGCGTATACACTTTTCTGCTGTCAATAACATGATTCATACACTAAATGTGATGCTTTCGTCCGTCCGACCAAAAAGACAGCCAACCACGGTCAGAAGGACGGTAGTTTATTCAATTTCAAGTATACCACATCTACTTTACAGATAGAATCGTCAGCCATCTAGCGGCAGGGTGGTGACTGGGCTATTAAACGTGAACTGAGAGAGCAGCTTTAACTAATAGCAGCTATACCCTTTCCGCAGTTGTCGTTTTGGGAGTGATAGATGGCGCTTGCAGCTGTCTTATTATGACTCCTATACAACTTCTCTACCGGCTAGTGTTATACTTGAAGAAAAGTCAAGTTTCGTCACAAATAGTTTCAAAATCTCGTCTACACACACTCCGTATGCTCGCGGTACGTAGAGTCAGAAACTCAAACCCATTTTAGGAAGTTATAGAGAAACTTTGTCGAGAGTTTAATTAGGTGGGGAACTTGAAAAAGGCCCCGTGCTGTCGGCCTGTAACTAATTTATAAACAAACTAAAAGCAGCAAGTGCGGTGTTCATCGACTTTCACAACACGTGCACCTGGTGCTGAAAAAAGCAGCCGCTGGGTGGTTTTTTAAAAGTTGATCCGTAGTTGCAGTTAATTAACATTTAGCTTTGACGAGAGAAAATGGTCCCTTGTGAGTCATGAAAATGGGGACACAGCTAGAGCTTTGAAAACTGAGTTTCTGTTGTTTTTATGCAATAATTTTTTTGTATTTCCAGCTATGTGATATCAAAATATTTGAAAAAGGGAGTAGTTCTGGTATCATGCAAACATACATCATATGGCTTCATAGAGAAGCTTTGCACATCAAAATCCCGTATATAGAAAATGCTTTTGTCTTTGTAAGAACTAAATCACATTAGGTGCGCGTTTGACAGCTTACATGATTTCATACAATCAGAAACTATCAGTTCCCCACAAACTACGATTCAGCAATTTCGGTTACACAACAAAAGAAAAAACTGTTACAAAACCACTTAAGTAAAAACATTCCTAGGCGTCCAACCCTGAGTCACGCGCAGCCTAGGGAAATTTTAACAGGACGCTAGTGCGTCGAAAACGCTTATGTCTATCAAAGCAGTAAATCGGCTTAGCTGTACTTTCGCAAGCTCTAGCGATTCCACGGAATTAGTGTAATATTATTTGATCCTTGAATTTAGAGGATTCTCATTTATTTTGTTTCATTTCGAGGCGCAACTAATTTTCAAATCATACCTATACGTCTTAATAAAATATTGCTAGTTGAAATAATTGTTTCAAAAATACGTGTACGAGTATTAAAACTAGTCTAACTCTTCGTATCACAAACTTAGCGCAATCTAGACTCATTCATTTTAAAGCGCATCAAGCTTTCATACACCGAAAATGCTTCTGTCTATGTAAAACTAAATCAGCTTAACTATACGTTGGAAAGCTTCAAAGATTTCATGAAATTAGAAACTAGTAGTGACGCCCCACCAACTGCGTTTCAGCGTTTCCAGTTAGACAACATTGTTGGATGAGTTCGTATAGTACGGATAATTTCTCATTAACGTGCAGTAGAAGTGCCTCCGTAAACGTGTTACTGCCACTTTGATCTCGTTCTAGCCTTTATATGCCAGCCGGATCTGAAACGTGTTTTGCACGGAGTCCATAACGATTATGTATGTTCAGAGGGATTATGGTGCTAATGCTTCCATACGAATATTGTTACTGGCACTTATCTTCCGCAAATTGGTATTTTATTACATCTATGTCAGAGGTAGCACTACAGTATAACAAAGCCAGTCAACTCTTTGTACTGCTACAATGCCCAATAGCCCCAAGCCCTTTAGTCGATCCTTTATATTGTAAATCGTTAGATATCGGACATCTGACCGTAATTGGACATTGCTGTTTCAAAACTAAATAGTAAGAGTTCTGTATTGCGTATTTTGTTCAGTTCTCGCCAGATGGTATCTCTGTAATATATGTTAACAGATTTCTATTCGGTTGCGCATACTTCCACGCCAGTGCTGCGATTATGGCGGGAAAATTTCATAGGTTATGTTCTTGACTCTGAAGCTAAAGTTGCGGTTCAGGTATCGGCAAAACATTTTACATTTATTCTCAAGGTAAGCATCTACATATTTTTGAATTGCGCTCGTACTGATATTTGTTGTCAAGCTTTAGATTGCCTCAAGAACAAGTTTGAGTTGATAAATTCAGAAATATGTTCTGTCCAATCACTCATAGTTTTTTTTTCAACTAATTTCGGTTATTGGACATCTGTCAAATCACTGAAAAATGTTATGTTATGTTCACTCCATTCAGTGAATCTTTATACAAGAAGGGATATTTTTCTATTTACATTAACTTGGAAATAGATTTGATAGTTATTGGACAACTGTCCAATAGCTAAACTTGACCGACAAGTAGCGGAGTTCGGGTCTCTAACATTTGGTCTACATTTTAGGAACTAGCAATACATATGTCGAAATTAAGGCAATACGACAAGTCGAAACTTGAATACGCTCTCAGAGACATACAAAACGGCACAGAATCTTACCGGATAGCCGAAAAGCCGAAAAGGAGTACATAATTCCGAAATCCACTTTAGAATTTAAACTGAAACATCCCGGTCATAAAGAAACCTTGGGCCCATCGCCAATTTTAACAAGTGAAGAAGAGGCTTTGTTAATTAGGAAATTTGTATTTTATTAGTGTCTAATAACACGAGACTAATTTTATAAATATTTATCTGCAGCTGGATAAAAGATAATGCTGCGAAGGGTTTTCCAAGAAAGGCCAACGATTTGAAGAATAGCGTGCAAAGACTTTTGACTGTTAATCCGCGCCCACACAAATTCAATGATAACCGACCGAGATGGGTGAGTTAAGGTTTCCCAGCAAATAAGCAATGTATAATTAGTAACTACTTATAGATATTTTCAACGTTACAGGGATTCTTGAAAAGGCATCCCGATATCTCTAAAATAACAGCTGAAGGGGTTACTTGGTCCAGTGCATGTGTCTCAGAACAAGACATCAGAACTGGTTTGTCAATATCCCTGACTACCTCAAGCAAAAAAATCTAGGAGATGTGCTTAAAGATCCTTCAAGGATTTTTAATGCTGACGAGTCAGGATTTGAGATTTGCCATTCCACTGGGAAGGTGCTTGCAGCAAAAGGGTATGTGTATTCTGTAGAACGGCGGTTCTTCGAAAGAAGACATCACCCTACTGTGTACTTTCACAGCAGACGATACGACTTCCGTGCCAATGGAAGTTTTCCCTTATCAACGCATTACTGAAAAAATAACTTAAGGTATTAGTTCTAAGTGGGGCGTAGGAAGAAGAGACAAAGGATGGATGACATCCGAAACATTTTGTCAATATATAGCAAATGTTTTCTATCCCCATCTGAAGGAAAATGCCATCAAATTACCAGTGATCTCTTTCTCGACGGTCATAAGAGTCACCTGAATCATCTGAGCATTCTATGTAATGAACTACAAATTGAAATCATTTCACTGTATCCTAATGCTACAAGGATTTCGCAACCCTGTGATGTATCCATTTTCCGACCAATCAAAGAAGCTTGGGGTCAGTCAGTACGAAAGTGGGAAGAAGAACATCCGGGGCAAATAGTGAACAACGTCGTTTTTGCTGGTATTCTAGAGAATGCTGTTAATAAGAGCTTCAAAGCAGTAACAGTTGTAAACGGGTTTAAAGTCTGCGGTTTGTATCCTTCCAATCCACATAACGTCGACTATGCAAAATGTCTAGGAGTGGGGACCATGCAGCAACCAAATATTGGTGTAGAAAATCTTACTCAGCACAAGATGACCTACGACAAGTTCGCAATAATAGTTGGTACCCAAAAAAATCGAAATGTTCCAAAATATTGAAATTTACGATGAAAATTTGCCTCTATTATTCAAGACTTGGATATTCTTCCAAAACGGTGATACAATACCTACGGATATCACAGAGCAAAAAAATAAAATTAATATTGTACAAAATATAGTTATAATGTCCCCAACAAAAAATCCTTCACTTGGTTCAAATTCTAGTGAAACTGAGAAAACTGCAACCCTTAGTCAACCGAGTACCAGCAGAGCTATCGTGAATGTAATCTGTAAGCAAATAATTCCTCCCAACCGAGTCGTAGTTACAAACAATTTGTTAAGAAGCTTATGCACTAGCAAGAAAGGGTAAACGAAACATAGAGAGATTATCTTTTGCTATAACATCTGAGCGATATCAGGAGATGTTCAGAAAAAAAGAAGAATTAAAGAAACAGCACGAAGAAGAGATATGTCATAACTGCTACATATTGAGTGATAGTGACGAGGATTGTGAAGATATTGATGATCGGGAAGTCGATGAATTATACGACCAATATAATCAGGCAAAAAAGCATTTTACAAATGATTATACTACATTGTATAAGACCCGTCCAATAACGGGATTTTCAGTGTCCCATATCTAGATGATGCGTCCAATAACTATAGTTTTTTGCATATGTCCAAATTATCATTGTTAGTGTAAATTCTGCAAAGCTATTTTCAAATATGTTCTGGCAGTCTAGTTAATAAAGCCTCTAACTTCCTTTATATGTAGTTTGCATTGCCTGTTTGTCACAATTGAAAGTTTGGCTCTCATTTAAAGTTGTCTAAGGGTAATAACGCACGAGCCGAGCACCGCGGCGGGTGGCGGATGAGCGGTACCGCGGGGAAGTGCGGATTGCTTTACGGAAACCGTCGCGGATGGCTGGTTGCTAGGTAGTCGTCATGAAAGTCCGCGCGGTCTCCGAGTTCGCCGCGTCCGATGCCAGCGTCCGCTCATCCGCGCGGTTACACGGTTGCCAGTGAGTTGTCTGCCAATTATTCCTAGACAAACTAACATCCGCGTGACCGCTATCCGCCGCGGTTCGCGGCTCGTGCGTTATTGTCCTAAACCTTAGCTCTTCAATAATTGTCTGGTTTACCCTACCTCCTCTTCTTTTTCTTGTACCATCACCTCTACGAAGGTTCAGCATTATCAGTACAATCTTATACTCAAGGCTGCAGTTGAGCGGAACATCACCAAAAACAGTCTCTGCGACTCCTTAACCAGGACATTGTTCTTCTGTTAATATCTACCTAAAATTTTACCCTGAATGATTAGCTGCAAAAAATACACAGATAATATATTCTTAGTACTATAATTTTCTTATTTTGAGGATATTCTTATTTGGTCTTTCAAGTACCATAGAGTTTCTAACTTTATCGATTCATGAACTTCTCAGGCTCGTACCATATATCCGCATATCATAAGCCTTTAATTTTTCATTCAAAACGTGTTCAGAGCCCACACTCTGCACGGAGAAAACATCACCCCAATATCTGTGACCTCAAATTCAAGCTAAGACTTCGACTACATAGCACATGGGGACCTCGGTTGGCCGCGTGGGTCAGAGTGTCGTGCTACTGATCAGCCGGTCGGCCGGGCCGCGAGTTCGAATCTCGCCTTCGCCATGGATGTTGTGTGTTTGTTTTAGGCAGCAGCGGTGGCCGCAGTAGTAGACCCTTCGGTCTCCTGATCAGCCGCCGTGCGCTGTGCGGGTTCGAGTCCCGTCCCAGGAGAAATGTTTCTCTTGGCCATGGATGTTGTGATTGTCCGTAGGTGGTAGATGGTCTCTGACTGTCGAACGCGGAGGTACCACCCGGCGGTTCTCGTAGGCGGAGCCAGAATGTGTGCATGTTGCATGCACACGTGTTCCCTCGCCAGAGTCCGTGTGGCGTCCCCCCTTTCCCATGTATCCCCCATAGCCCCACGGTACCCAATGGGTGCTTAGGCCTTAGGCCTTCGTGGTAGTTGGAGTATATAAAAAAAAAAAAAAAACATGCTTTACGTTGGATGCAATTCCAGCGTTTTCTATACTAATCAGTATTTTCTTTGTACTATCATTCGTTTTGTTGGCATTTGTTACCAGTTCATGTCGCCGCCCACTCTTTCAATTTGTTCATTGTCCATAATCTTTACGATCATCGTGATTTTCTCAGATTTAGCGACTACCTTACCTGTTCAGTTACTTGCGACACCTCTGTTGAAATTCTCAAGAGATCTTCAAGATTGTCTGCAAGAAGCACGGCATTATACAATTTATTTTGATACATAGCTGTTTTATGTTGAAGTGCGCCTTAAAAGAGATACTGATAAAGCTCAGCTCCGACAGGCACCTCTTTCAATTCTTATTTTGTCTGTCAAGTAGTTATGTTTATGTACTCTAGCTTCTTGTTTATAGTGAAGATTACCCATTATTCGAATCTATTGTGTCTGTTTTTTCTGTTAAGGTAACTGCAAAAATGTTTCAACCTATACTGACCAACACTAAATTAATCTTTATCGTTCAAAAATGTCCGACCTCCTGATGAAGGTCAGGATGTCCGACCAGTAGGCGGAGTATATCATTAGCAATCTGAATTAAAGTAAGTCTTACTTATACCTAATTTTTCTCAACTGATACCGGCAAATCGGCTCTCTATCCAACTTAACAGGTACGCAGTCGTTAAAAGTAGATATAAAAGCTATTTGATACCCCACTTACAAAAACGCTCAGCTTTAATAACATGCCTTAAAACGACGTATTACGTGACCCCCCTTCCATTCAATGACATACAGATGTTCCAAAATGACGCTCTACCGCCATCGTGAAATTTTGAACTGATACTTTTATGCCAAAATATAGTATTCAACATCAATTTCATAGCCCCGAATTTCAGCTTCATACCTTTACTAATTGAAAAAATAAGTCGTCAAGAGGGTTGATTCTGCACTTCCCACGCATCGTTGTCATCAGTTCATAAGTAATTACGTTTGGCACAACTCTATGAGCTAGCTACAATCAGTTAAACAAAAAAAATGAATGAATCATGTTAGCCAAACACGCTCACGCAATTAGTCTATACTCCATAGTCCACAGCCATGATACTATAACTGCAGATCATAAACGTCGTCGATCCAGTCAGGACCAAACAGAGTCTGTCGCAAAACTAGAAGAACGCACGCAGCAAGGCGAAAGGAATCTCAAAATTAAATATGTTAACGGTAGTCCTAAAATCATAAGTTTAAACTAGGCAGCGCACCCTCTTGCAGTTCTGATAATGTTGAGTCCACAGAGTTTAGATGCTATTATCAAAACGTTAGAGGTCTCAATTCTAAAGTTCCTAGTTTTTATAGTGCTGTAACTGAGTGTGAGTTCGACTTGATATGTCTCAGTGAAACGTGGCTGTCAGTTCATGTTAATAGCTCAGAACTTTTTCCTGTTGAATACTCTGTATTTCGCTCTGATCGTGACTTTGCAACAACTGAATTGTCAACAGGTGGTGGTACGTTGATTGCTGTTAGGGACACGTTTAGTGTATCTGTGGTTAATACAAATATACTGAACAGTTCCTTTCCGCTAATTGATACTGTTGCCGTAAAGGTGAATCTGCAGATAAAACCACTAATTGCATTTTGCATTTATGTTCCACCGTCTGTAGGACTTGATGAGTTTGAGTGTTATTTGGATAGTCTTGAAACAATTCTAACAACTTTTGGTAATTATAATATTGTTATAAATGGTGACTTCAACGTTCCTTCCTTTAATATCCAGTTCAATGACAGAAAATTCCAATCCTTGAGTCAGTTCTGTGCTTTCTCGGACCTCACCAATTTTAACAGCATTGTGAACTGCAATGGGAGACTACTTGATTTAGTATTGACCAATTCTAATATTTTAGTGATAAGAGATTGTTACCCTTTAGTTAAGGAAGATAAGCATCATCCAGCTCTCCAATTTAACTTCACGATTGGGAGTATGAAAAATAATTTTAATTTGAAGACCGTCTCTAGATATAACTTCCGTCGTGCTAATTATGTAGCCTTGTATAATGCTGTTTTGAATATTGATTGGTCACACCTCAAAGAAATGAATGATGTAGAGAATGCTTGCTCATATTTATATTCAATATTGAATGAACTTTTTGATTTGTATATTCCAAGGTTTAAGCAAGCACAGCGTCGTTATCCTTTATGGTTCACGACTGAAATTATAACTAATATAAAACAGAAGGATAGGGCCAGAAACTGTTTTAAGCAAACAGGACTCATTCATTTCGAAAATAAATTCAAGCAGCTACGTACTAACATCAAGGCTCAAATAGAAATTGCTTATGCTGCTTACACCAAGAAGGTTGAAGATTCAATTCGTCATGATCCGGGTAAGTTTTGGTCATTTTTAAATTCAAAGAATAATCAGTCTAGAATACCAGGCTCCATGTCATTTGAAGGCAACGTTTTTGATACCCCTCAAGCTATTGTTGATGGATTTGCACAATATTTTTCGGGTGCGTTCACTACCTCAGGTCCGTCGACTTTTAGAAATATCACTTCAGGAAATTGTCACATATCATTAGATCATATCAGTGAACATGATATCATACAGGCATCAAAAAAATTGAAGGATAAAATGACGTCTGGTTTTGATGGTGTACCTAGCTTCATAGTTAAGGATTGTATTCATATCCTAGCTAAGCCTCTTTGCTATATATTCAATTTGATTTTAAAATCTCGTTGTTATCCTAAAATTTGGAAGATGACAAAAATTTGTCCTATATTTAAGAGTGGTGTCAACTCAGATGTAAGTAATTATCGTCAAATAGCTATTTTATGTAATTTTAGTAAATTGTTTGAGATAATAATTTATAACACAATATTCAGCTCCGTAAGATCTCTCATCTCTGAAAATCAACATGGTTTTATGGTTGGCAGATCTACGGTCACAAATTTAGCTTGTTTCACTCAGTTTGCCGCTAGCGCACTTGATTGTCAGGGTCAAGTAGATGTGATATACACAGATATTGCGAAGGCCTTTGATCGGGTTGATCATTATATATTGTTGGCAAAGCTTGAAGCGTTAGGTTTATCAGCCTCTATGTTGACCCTCTTGCAATCATACCTTGCTGATAGGTCATTATATGTTGAATTTGGTGGAAGTAAGTCCAAAATTTATACAGCAACATCTGGAGTTCCACAAGGTTCGAACCTAGGACCCTTGTTATTTCTTATTTTCATTAACGATCTGTCTTTGAAGCTAACCTGTATGCACTTGCTTTTTGCTGACGACTTGAAGATATTTTCGCCAATTCATTCTTCGAGTGACTGTGTGGAGATGCAAAGCAAGCTTGACT